CATCTGTTAATTATCTTTAAAATAAGTTACACCTTAGCCTTTGAATAATTGTTCATACGTAATTGTTTATGTATGAAGTAATTACTAAGCTCTGTGAGAGAGGACTCTACCTGTAATTGTAAGGTCGATGGTGTCAGATCCTGTGGCAGATCCCAAAACTTGCTCTCACCTATAGACATTAGTCTTTGTCTTGTGGGATATGTGAAAATGACCTAATTTAATAATGTTTTTATTACACTAATTTTGGATGAAATTTTCCTGCCTGCCTGTGTTTTTCTTTAACACCTTGAGTGTCGTGACCACGGGTTGAGCAGAGATTGGGGAATCAGGAACAAGGGGTTTATTCAGAATACGACATGGCATTGCACAAAATAGTGTAGACTTCAATGACAGGACTGGGGAAACGAACTCGAACACAGACTGAAATACACAGGATTAATTGGAAATAACAGGAAACAGCTGGTAACATCGGGATTTCACACAAGGTTAACGAGGGGGGTGTGGCACACGGGAGGATCAGACAAGCAGGGCGCGACATTGAGTACTGTCCAAGCAGACTTGGTAAGAGCCCAGAAATATTGGTATTTCCTTTTGGTTAACCTGCTTCCACAAACGGTAGGTCATAACCTCTTCTGACTGGAGTGGTCAGAACCACTTGTGAACAGTACAGTCCAGCCTCTGAAAAAAGTCTGTATGGAGGGAGAGAGTGTCTGCCGCTCAGGATAATCTGCGGCACTCAGCTGTCATGTCATCCAGTTTGCCTGACAGTCATTCCTCATGTGGCCCCATCAGGAGTAGGTTAGTTAGGAATGTCATGATCAGAATCAGGTTTGTTCATGAAATATTTTGATTTAATATTATCATTAAAAATACATTTCTCTTTTAATATAATTAGCCACATCTATTTGATAATTAAAGCTTAGATGGAATTTTTAAAGAGATACTTTTAGGGACATTTATTACACATACCCATTTTAGCATGATATACACTGGAGATCAAAATTAGAGAACAACCTACAATTTCTTAAATGTCAAGGTCACTACGTAGTCCTATTTCGAAATTATCCAAACAGGAGTAAAAGAGCAGTATTTTACCATATGTCATGAGTTACATAAATTCAGAAGCACAGTATAAGAAACTTAAATGAGATATCTGAAAAAGAACACTGATCAAAATTAGAGTTCACGTTCAGATACCTCCCAGTTATTGGTGTTAATCTGGCAGCTGGTGCTAATTGCCTTAATTATCTGACAAACCCTATTTAACTTTGTAGTTATCAACGACTTTGCGAGATGTTGAGCCGGAACCCTCCGGCAGCAGGTTGCCCAGATGATGGCCAAAGGGATGTGACCCTATCAGTCATAGCAAGAGAAGTTGGTCGTTCCAAATCTGCGATTTCTAGAATGTTGCACCTTTACAATGTCACAAACTCATTTAAGGGTAAGGATCTGTCTCATCATATGGAGTCTCGACGTTTAAGAGCATTTGGACTGACAGCCTAATCTGCAGTGACCAAACCTCT